TAAAATATAAAATATTAATTAAAATTTGCTTTCAGAAATTGTGTGCTGAATTTTTGGAATTTTCCAATAACTTACATCATTTTATTACAAAAGAAATAGAGAAAGACTTTATTGAAGCGAGTGAAGATTTTGAAATAATATTTTTGTGTCTTACACAAATTATTACGTGCATTAAGCACTTGGAGCGCACCATAAAAGCTGAGGAAGTCAGCGGCTCTGCCATATCAGTAAATATTATTAATAGATCAAAATATATAGTTTAAAAATGTTATATGTGTATTATGAATAGGCTTCAAGACAGCTCTTTCTTGATCGCATTTATTGGTGTTTGGATCGTTTGTTAGAATCAATGAAAAATTTGGTCTCATGTGATACATTTAATTATAAGACCATAGAAGAGCAGTCATTTATTGAATTGATGGATTTGGTATTTGATTCTTTGTTACCATATAGTACATACAATGAGAGCACAAATTACAATAATGCAGAACAAAATGCTGAGGTATTATATTACATATATTAAATCAATATTAAAGAATTAATATGTACATTTAATTGAAGGCAATGTTTGATAGTAAAAAAGTACGTTCTATGATTGACTTAATACTGAGTCATACGTTAGCGTTTGCTAATGTGGCATTGAAAGAAGATAAAAAAGCTATTAGTGCGCTTTGCCAAAAGGTAATAAACAAAATGATTAGCAAATAAGTAAATAAGTGATATACATTTATTTAGGTGCTACGTGAGTGCATATCCTTTCAAGACGAATGTGCACTAACTAAACCAGTACTAAAAATTAATGACTCCAATAGGAGTTTGCGAGCAACTTCACTGGAAAATGCACTTTATCAACTTGAGGGTTATGTTAATGAAGCCTTATTACGTTTGGTATATGTCTGTTTTTTGGACTTCAACAAGTTTTCGATACAGACATTACGCACAGAAATATTAATACGTGAAACTGATGATCCCGTTTTAGATGAACTCATAGCAGATTTCGATGTGAATGTAGATCGTATGACACAAATTGGTATATTTGCCATTACTTTTGCGACAAATTCTAAAAGTAATTATTTAATATTCATTATTTTTTAGTCTTTTATTAGTATTTGATGTAATTTAACTTGGCTTATTTTTAGTGAAAACAATAATTCGCAGCTGTTTAGCGTCAATAGAATCTCTTGATTCTTGCGTTATACCCTCGTTATATGCAAAAAATGCTGCCGACATACATTCGGAAATCTTAGAACAACATTTCAATGAAGAAGTTAATATTTTCAAAAACGCCATACAACAAATAATAGATAGTCACGCCTTCACATCATGCTATGCGGATTTGCTATCAGATTGCATAAAAAAATTAGAAAAGGATTTCAATAAAACAAAAGCATGTGAAATCATACAAATGGCTGAATTATTATATGAACATTTTCAACTTCCAGCCAATCGTAAAGAACTTGCGAAAATAGCAGATCGGGATAAATATTTTAAAAAATTTGTAATAATTTTACGTGAATGTCAAGCAATTCTAATCTGTGCTGATCAAGTTGAATCGAAAAGGATTTTAAAAAGGTTCAGGATTTTAAGTTCTATTTCACGTAAATTTTTAGACACACTTGTTGCTCACGGAAGACATGCAAAGAAAACTAATGCATTTATAATGTCCGAGCAGTTTAATGAGTCTGAATGTATGTTTGAATCTGCTGGTATATCACCTTCAATACCAAGCATATTGTATCAAAATGATCATACGCTACGCAGACGTGCTGCTAGTGATTCTTTAAAGGGGAACTACTCAAAATTAATGCATACGCCAAAACCTTTACCATTAGTATTGCAAAAACCTAAACATGATGCAGAATTGCAAAAAATTACAAATACAAGTGTATCAAATATTGGAGGCAATGAACGCCGTTGCAGTGTACGTAGGAGTATGTAGATCCAGTGTGATTTGCTTGTTCATATATTTTATTATAACAATTTTTTATTTTATATAATAATTATAAAATGTTTGCTTTATTTGCAGAACCAAGCTTACGCACTGCGATGTTTAAACGCCAAAAATCTACCGAAACGGAAAAAGTGTACCATATTTATAAAAATAACTCCGCAAGCCTACAAATAAGTGGTAAAAAATAAAATATCTATATATTTTTGTTTTCATTTACTACTACTTTTATAATTTTAGATATACTAGATCAACTTTGTAGTATGTCTTCGAATATGGCTAGTAATTTGAAGAAAAGTAATTCAAAATAATCGTATATATATATTATACGTTCGATAAGAAATCCTTAACTGATTCAACTAAAGTGATATATTATAATTTACTTTATCCTATATCATTAGTTTATATATATCACTGGAACTTTTTAAAAAATTAAATTTATAGTTCATAATTCAATTTATAATTTTTTTACATAATGCTTTGTAAAATTAAATTTTCATATAAATATGAAATTCAATGTTAATACTTTTAACTATAATATTCATTTTAAGATATATTCATAATAAGGGTATTATGCACAAGTAATTACTTAATTGATTAAAAAAAATTGATGTCTGTATAAACTTATTAACAATTTAAATGTATAGTTAATAAGTCATGGAAGATCTCTTTGTAAAATTATCATTTCATTAAAATATAAAATTTAATATTAATTTAAAGTATAATATTGATATATATGTATCAGTACGAGTATATACATTTGCAATTGTATTATACATAAGTAATTATTTTACTTATTGAAGAAAAATTTTTCACTATTCATAGATTCATTATCTAACAATTTTAATTATTTATATAATTATAAATATAACATAAAAATTTTAATTAAATGTGCACGTGTAAATGTTATATGTCTATATTATAAAATTATACAAAGAAGTCAATATTCGATATTGAGAAACTAAAATATTACCTATGATATCAAAATGTATAAGTATTAAAATTCTTACTGTGTAGCAATTTATATAAGTGCTAAAAGTTGTAATTACCTATCGTATTTAAAAGCATGGTAAATATTTCATTAAAATCAAAAATATAATGTTCAACATTTTAAACAAATATATAATTCAACTTGAAACGCAAAATTGTTTGTCTATAAAGGGATAACAGTTTTATACTTATAAATTTAAAATTTAATTGTTTAGTTACTGATTTATTATTATTAAATAAATATTATTAAATAATATTATAAATATGCGACCTCTTGGAAATGTATAGGTAAATATAGTTTGTGTATTATATTTACCTTAGGGATATAAGGGTGAACCTAAGGGATAGAACCCTTATGAGCTTGTCATGTAGCTTCTTAAGAAGATATCAACATTACCACATTGATATGAACTTTGGTGGCTACTATCTACTACTATTACTACTACTACTAATAAGTTGGAATATTTTCGGAAAAAAAAGATGAAATAATGAACTATATATAGACAGATGTTGACTGAAGTTCATAAAGTACTACAGTAGATACATAAGCATATAATTGAAGTGCGCGATGCATCAATAGAACAGATTTCATACGCGTTATTCATTCTTCTTACAACTACAATATAGTTCTACTAAAGGGTTAGCCTAGCTTTCTTTTTTAATTGCCTATAGCACTAGTAGGAAAAACATGAAACTTACTCCCAAATGCGTAAACTTGATGAGATCGTCTAACACTAGCATTTAAAAACCAGATCTTAGACAGGTAGTGGTTGTTGTTGTAGCCCGCTGGGACCTGTAACCAGCTCACATGAAATAATTTATAAGACAAAGGAATAAGGACATTGGCATAGGAATAAGAGGTGAATTGGGTGGTTGGAATTTAAATTAAACCGTGTCCAGAAGGAGAATTCTGGCCACTTCAATGGGGTGGGTCCAAAAGTCGATTGGATGGAGGTTTGTGTGCGTAGTGCAGATAGTGATAGTTGATTTAATTGATTCGATCTTTTATAAAAGCGCTGAAAACTATTGTACTCAGAGTCATAATTTAAAATTAGTTAATTATATTGTAATATAGGTAGTCTTTAGTATTTGACTGTCTCTCTCTTTAGGTAAAGAATTAAACAAATTTTTAAATCTTTTATATCTGCCATTAAAGTGCTTAAAACTAGATGATCTGAAATTCTTTTAATATCAATTCAAAATTATATGTTATTTATATTCATGGAATATTTTTAATTTAATAGTTGGTTGCTCCAGACAAAAAGTTAACTTATGAACGCCGACTCAAACGAATCATTAAATATTGTAATCAGAAGCTTCTGACATGAGTGTTCCAAAATCTACTAGGACTGACAAGCTTTAATTTAATTTCTGATAGACGTTTCAATTGCTTGTAGTTGTAGATTACCGGTCTTTTCTCAATGAGTTATTTAATCTCGTCGGTGTCCAACTCATATGGGTACCAGAACGCAATGACGTGTCGGAAAAATGTAAGGTAGACGATCTTACCAAAGCAGGAACATTGCTTTCCGATATTCACTTGTTGGTATTTATATTCCTTTTGTAGTGGTTTACTGGCGATGGAATATAAATGTTAAGGTTGGTAGGGGAAACATAGGTAGTCGAAGACTTTTGTCACATCACAAAACTTACTTGGTCCGAATTACATAAAATCCTTACAAGTCGGCTGCTTCAACTGCTCACAATAAAAAATAAATTAATAATAAATTCAACAATAAATAAAATTTAATTTAATATAAAAGGTTCCGATATAGGTTAAATACGATATAATCTAACGATAATGAAAATAAACTATGAGTTTAAATCAAATTTTGTTTAAATTTTTTATTCATATTTAATTATAATTTAATTTTTAATATTACATTTTCAACATTTTTATGGAAGACAATTAAGTGACTTAAATTAAAGCTTTATGCGTTTTTATATAGTATTATATATTATAATCGATCCATTAACCACAAAATAATATCAACAATCAAATTTTGTTTTAAGGTCATTATTACATAGTAGATATACATATATAATTACATTTTAACAGTATTTTTATATAGGTATGTAATTATTTATGATCTAAAATTTATTTAAATGCATATTCTGATAAATTTATGTACTGAAAACATACCCATCAATAGTAGAGATATAATCCATGTGTTCTAGAAGTGGTTATAATTATTCCGGAACTATTTGTTAATGTTGACCAAGTGCTTGAATAGTTGATGTTTCCATCAAGTATTCTACTATTTACCTACTTGAAAAGTGAGCCAAATCGGTTTCCACAAGAAGAAAGGAATTGCACAGATTACAACAACAGCATATATTATTATAAAGTGTATAGATAGTTAGAACTGTAGTTCGATATTTGAAAATTTTAGTTTTGTAAGAATATTTTAGGGTCATTTGTAGGTAATAACCTAAAATAAAAAATTTTTGAAAATGTTAATTCCAAATTATTTGTTTTAAGAAGTATATTCCTGCACATATGCTCTTTGTAGATTCAGCCTTGTTGATATATAGCTTCTACGGGCAACAGTAACTGATTTAAAGAATTAGTTATGGTTCTTGGAAACTCAGGGTTGATTATTTTCCCAAACATTTAAGAATATTAAATATAACATCACATCTGATTATTTAATCAGATTTTTCTAATTAGTTGTAATATTAACCTCAAAACCTCTACGCAAAATATAAATTACAAATAAATGTGTGCTCAGATATGCAATATTTAAACGCAAATAAATAAGACAATATATGTATGTATATTTCATTCAAAAATAAATGGTTAATTGTAAAATATTATTTCCTTTTTTTTCCACTGAGCAGTTGTGAAACGTTGCTTAATAAACTTAAATATATTTTTTTTAATAACAAAAATCATAAATTGCATTAATACTTAATCCACAGCGTCTCATGTTCAGGTTCAAATAGTTTAATATTTCAAGTTGCCCATGCAAATGTATTTTATTTCCACGTATTCATCAATGCCATGATGACTGCCCTCACGACCAATACCGGACTCTTTAACACCACCGAATGGTGCTTCAGCTGCAGAAATTAAACCCTCATTTACACCGACCATACCTACTTCAAGTCGTTTGGCTACTCGGAATACTTGTTGTAAGTTCTCACTATAGAAGTAACCAGCTAAACCACGCCGAGAACTATTGGCTTTCTGTATTGCTTCTTGCTCATCTTTGAATTTTATAATCGAAACAACTGGACCAAACACTTCTTCAGTGTAAATTTTTGCAGCTGGACTTAGATCTGTGACAATTGTTGGTGCATAGAAGAGTTCACCGTGTTCTGGTAGCGCTTTACCTCCAGTTATAATTTTGGAATTATGTTTACGTGCATCGTCCACAAATCCACTTACCTTATTAAATTGCATTTTATTAACTAGTGGACCAATTTGCACACCATCACCGTCACCAGCGCCAATTTTCAAATCTTCAACACGTTGTTTTATTAACTCAACAAAGCGATCGTAAACACCTTCTTGTACAAAGAAACGATTGGATGACACACAAGTTTGTCCACAATTACGAAATTTAGATATCATTGCGCCATCTACTGCCTTTTCCACATCAGCCGAATTAAAAACAATAAATGGTGCATTACCACCCAATTCTAGTGATATGCGTTTAATGCCATCAGCACAGTTTCGGAAAAGCATTTTACCGACTTCAGTTGAGCCTGTAAAAGAGATGCCTTGTACATCGGGACTCTTACAGAAGAGATCACCAACAGGTGCCGCCTTATTTGTTGTAACAACATTTATGACGCCTAGAAGAGATTGGAAAATTATTTTAATTTTTAATTATTTTAAAATATTGAAATAAAATTAAAAATATTGTCTAATGATGATAATATAATTAATATTTAAAATTAAAGGTAAAGATGAAGGCTATAGAAATGTGACATCAATCTCAAACAATGTTTTAGGTATAATACTTTTTTTGGGAGAAGCCTATTTAATGCTTTTATATGAAGAAGACACATAGATATCAATTTATGCTTCGGCACTTTTTCGAATTGAGAGACGTATTGCGTGTGCAGCAGGAACTTTACTCAATTGAGGTTATTCTACTGAAAAGTTACTTGTCACTTATAAATACGTCTGCAGTCAATGTTTCCATACATCCACGTTTCATTAGTTGTAGCGATATGATGAAGGAAGGAAATCAGCGACATTTTTAACAACAGTAGCTTTACTCTACATAACATGCCCTGTTTTCATGCCCCAATGCTTACATAAATTTGAGCTCTACTAATTTGTGGTTTCTTTCTATTGAAATGGATTCTTTCACTTGGAGCTATGCTAAATTTAACATCCCTAACTATTTTCTTATTCTTCTTATTTTCTTTCAATTTTCTTATTTATTTTTAAGAATTTTTTTGGAATATTTCAAGTGTGCATTTTGGGATTTATAAATTCTGGGTATTTCGGAGATAGAAAGTATTATTGACAATCTATTTGCTTTTCTCTCTTTGTACAACTGATAGTTACTTAATCTAGACCTTAAACTTTCTAATAAAACTTTAATTAAAAGTTACTGCCAAGTTAGAAATTACCTTTTGGTATGCCAGCTTTCTCTGCGAGCTCTATGATCGCAAGAGCGGTTAATGGTGTATCTTCTGCTGGTTTTATCACAACAGTGCAACCTTTTAAGATTAATAATCAAATAAAAAAATTAAAAATATATTTAAGAAAGCGAATTTCATAGGATTACCTGCTGCAATGGCGGCACCAGCTTTACGTGTTATCATTGCAAGTGGAAAATTCCAGGGTGTGATAAGTGCCGCAACGCCCAAAGGTTGCTTCATAATAATTGTCTCGCGATTTGGTAATGAACTAGGAACTATTTCACCATATATACGTCGTGCCTCTTCAGCGAACCACTCAACAAAAGAATTTCCATAAGCAACTTCACCTTTTGATTCAGTAATCGGTTTGCCAGATTCTGCCGTCATGATATCAGCAATCTCCTGACAATGCTCGTTAATCAAATTATACCAATTCTGCAAGTAAATATAAATGGTTTTAATTAAATTTGATAACTGAGTTTTTATAGGAATAGAAGGATTGTCATACTTTAAGCATGCTTGAACGCTGTTTGGCTGTCAGGTTACGCCATTCATCGGATTCATATGTTCGTTTAGCGGCATCAATAGCAAGTTGAGCATCCTTTGCATTCATGTTCGGCACATGTCCGATGACATTACCTGTAGCTGGATTTTTAACTTCAAACGTATCGCCGCTGATGGCGTCAACCCAGCAGCCATTTATGTAAGCCTGCGATTTTAGTAGATTATTCATCATGGGTACGGGCTTGGCGACCGTCGCGAATAGTTTGTGTGGTATTGTAATTGCTTTACGTATCATAATTGATTTTTAATTCGTTTATTTTTGTTTTTGGAAAAAATATAAACACTATTGAAGTGTCGTTGTATAATTTTGATTTATCGATTTTTTGCGAATCTGCTGAACTTTGCTGAGAACAATATTCACTTATCGCGCTTATCAAAAAATTTAAATTTTTGCTTTTTTATCGCTTTATAGACTTATGTTTTGATTAAAATAAATTGATTTAAATTAATTTTCCTTGTGTGCTCTCACTAATTTTAATAATTGGCGACCCAAAGCAAATGCACCGGCCGCACACAAATTTCTGATACCAGAACATCAGCTGATTTTGTTTTGTTTCTGCCTCTTTTTCGCTTTATGCTTCACTTTCTTTTTCCTATCAATAATTATCTTTTTTTGCAAATGCTTTGTGCTGATTAAGATAAATGTATGTAGTTTTTTTATAAAAAGATAAAGATTTATATAGATTATAGAAATTGTTTATAAGGGGTTTTTACCAATATTTTTTTTATTTTTTCTATTGTTTTTGGTGAAGTTTATCAGTAATTCTTATTTTTACCAATATTTTTTTTTTATTTTTTCTGTTGCTTTTGGTGAAGTTTATCAGTAATTTTTATAGTGCCAGCTTTTGGTGATGTTGGCTGGCGCTTTGACCTTTGTTACTTCAATTATTTATATTAATAATTATAATAATAAAAATTATTTATTCAATATGTATATATATACATACATTCTCAATAATTGAAGTGACAAAAGTCAAACCGCCAGCCAACATCACCAAAAGCCAACACTATAAAAATTACTGATAAACTTTACCAAATATATACATATATATACACTGAATATTTGAATATATATATTTAAGCAAAGTTGGCCAATGATTGCAGACGTGAGTGAAGTGAAGAGGGTTTACATCATAATTAATGCAGTCAATGTAGAAAAAGTAAGTTTCCAATTTTCGATAAAAAGAGGGACAAATAAAAATTGATACTGGTTAACATTATATTCTGAAAATAATCAAAAAAATGTATTCTTTAAAATAATATGTCTGTTCCACAAACTACTCGTAGTAACTATGAGTGACACTATGTATACCTAAGTGCGTTCCAATAGCAAATTTTCGAGTAAATGAGAGCATCTGAGAGCGCGTAACATCTCTGTCGAAATTTGAAAATGTTACACATACTTCACTAGTACATTTTATTTCAAGTAAAATTTGTATGATGTGTAAATCAGCTGTTTTAGTTTGAATTTAAATTTTTGAATTATTTATTTGCGCTGCACTTGTGTACTCACCAAGATTTTCTACAAAGCTGTTCCATGAAAATCTGCTACTAAAAAAAATAGTTACAATGTTACAATAGTCAATAAATATATGTTTACAAATAGAAGTGTTGCTATAAGTCCCTTTTTTGCATTGATCTCTTTAATATATATATATTAAGTCAGGTACACATATCAATAAAAGCTTGAATCACAATGGAAATAAATAGATGTCTCCGTGTAGAAGTGTTGATACGTGTATCTTTTTTGCGTTGATCTATTCAATAAATATAAATTGAATGGTCAATAAATGAGCAATAAATGGTCTCCGAGTAGAAGTGTTGATACATGCCTCTTTTAGCATTATTCTCTTCAATAAATAAAAATTGAAGTTACCAAATGATTAAAGATCTCAATTACAATGGGCAATAAATAGATGCCTTCTTGTGGAAGTGTTAATAGTTGTACATAACATAAACATAAAGGTCTAAATAATGAGCTTATTTATATAAAAGATCTTTGTGTGGTCAATCATCTCATTAGTGGTTAGAATGAGCAAAACCACATAAATGAGACAGTGTGAATATGCTATTACCTATTACCTTGGAGTTTTTATTTTTATGTCTCAACTGGTTAAACAAGTACCAGTTTACTAAGGAATTTCAATGGAATAAAATAATAAAAATTAAAAATATGAAAGCATTACTTAAGGATATAACTTCAAAATACAAGACATATTATTGTTTCTCAAATTTGAGATAATAATTTATTTAATAAAATTTTATTAAGATTTGTTTACACAATATTTAAAAGTACAAATATTTCTAAGTTTACATAATTTATTTTAATTATAATTTTAAAAAAATATATAATCTCTTTTAGCACAAATTGGCACATAATTTTAAATTATCAATATAAAACATATTTTTAATTTTTAAAAATTATAATAATTTTTACAGTTATACATTTTAATAATATCTATAGATTAAAATTCTTTAATTTAATACCTATACATATGTGGCTTTTTGTTCTTAAATGCATTTGTTATATAAAATACTTTTTAATAGAGACATTAATAATATTAAATAAATGCTGTAATAATATGTATTGATAACAGATAAGAAAAAAAAAATTAATTTAAACACAATTCTTCTAATGTTTACACTTACAATTATCGAACACTATTAGCACATTTTTGCATGGATTTCATATGAAAAATTATACTGATTGTTGGTTGCATTTATTGTTGAGTTACTTATGATAGTGTAAACGTATTGTTAAGTTTAATAATGTTAATAATCTATTAGGTTTTTTTTTAATTTTTTTCTAATAGAAGCTTGGAGAAGTTTCTGCTTCTGTTACTAAAACTCACATAGAAAAAACTTTAACAAAAGTGAAATGGTCTCAACTTTTCTAATTTTACTTTTAATGGTCTCTTCACTTGAGAATTTTAAATCAATATATAAGTGAACATGCGAACAATCAGAGACAATTAAATAAATTTTGAGTAAAATGTGAGACGCATTTTCTTTCCTTCTTACACCAGAAGGTTGCAAAAGAGTTTAAAAACAACAAACAAATATACAACAGAAATAACTTTATGTTGATAAGTTAATGAACATTAACTCGCATAGTGTGAAGTGCATATTAGAACAACAAATAACGCCGATCTTAAGGATTCACTTAGGTCTATTGAGGCAAAAGGTTTAATCTGGATTATATGAGTCCAATATAAGAAATAAATTTAAGCCATTTAGTGTTTGTATAAATATAAAAGTAATTATTTTGTGAAATATATGGATTTGTTTTAAAATGTTTATTATTTTTGGAAAACTATAAAATGGAACAAATTATGCATCTACAAAAATTATTCTATCGGTGGGGTTACTATTTGTATATATTGTTTTGAAATGAAATTAATAATACTTTATTATTTTTTATAACATTCAAGATAATTATATAAATTAATCACGAACGAATTTTTAAAAAATTTTTGTTTTTTAATATTATTATGAATCTGAAAAGGATTGTTTACTTTTAGAAAATGACATTTTATTTATGTTTAGTTATAATAAAAGATTGAGTTACAAAACAAAAAAAAACATAACTAACGAAATAAAAAATATAACAAATGTGAATTTCTAGATTTATATATATATGCATATATATTTAAAAAAAATGCTTTTTTAGATATTGTGAGTGTTTATATATATATATATATATATATATAAAAGATCGTTATAAATATTGCGAAATAGAAAATATATTAAAGGTTTTATCATATTTAATAATATAATACAATGTTCAGACAGCCAAATTTTCTTAATTTCGTTAAAATTAAGTTTCCTTAATTTCGTTAAGATAATTTCGAAAGTGTTCACACTGCCCCAAATAAAGGAAATCATATGTTTTTTGTTTACAAATCGAATGTTGAAAATCACATGCTCCAAACACCATTTGTATCTGGGCAATTTTATAATGTCCCTTAATTTCAGTCTTCGTTTCAACGAAATTAATGCCATTTTTTTTAATTTTGTTCTAACCTTAAAACTGAAACTTCATTTTGCTGAAACGTAGTTGAAATTAAGATTTTTGTGAAATTAAGATTGTGTCTGAACATAGTATAACATTTACCTATTAATGAATTATACCTTAATATGAATTATTTAAAATTATTATAAAAATATTTTACACACATACAAATTGATATATTTAAGCAAATAATAAACTTAATATGTTATGGAAGTCTTATTTTTATTTAATTTAACTTAATTTAATTAATTAATCAATAGTTATTTTTTAGAATTTCAAATTTTCGTATTAGAATTACAATACAATATTACGATATCACCTTATATATTTTACTAACATATTAATTGATCAATTTTATGAGTTAATTACCTATTAAGTAAATAAAATTAATTTTTGAAAAATATAGTCTTGATTTTATTACAAAAAATTAAATATTGCCTGATATCAATGGATTGTCTTTTACGATTAAGCATGCTTAAGATCACACCAAATAAATTTTGGATGTTAAAAATTTATGTACATGAATTGTGCATGTTTATATGTGCGTAGACAAGTCTGTGATTAGGCATATTAATTGCAGAAAGACCGCTGCAATATCATCCCAGAATTTAAATTTAGAACTATACTAAGCTGTATGAAAAATGTTATAAAAAACAGTTTTAATCTGAGGAATCAATCCAGTGTGTTTATGTTTAATGGCATGCGATTTTAATCATCCTGTATATGTTTTATTTAAAGTTAAATACTAAATTTTATAACGTTTTGAAGTATTATTCAGTATATTTTAAACTGCCAAACTGAGTACAATTCTTGAAGGGTTTTCAGTGAAGAATCTGACAAGATATTTCTTAATGTATAATTTTGTAATATATGGTATATTATATACAATTCATAATTTTATATTACATATATTTTATGATTGTGATTGATTGAATAACTTTTAATATATATGTATAATTTACATATATATTTATATATATATATATACAATAATTAGTAAATAATTTTGATTGTTTTTTGATATTAAGAACTTTTTTGACAAAGCCCTTAATAGTAAATATAAAAAAAAAGAATAAATTTGGACAAAGGAGGCAGTTTTTAAATATATAAGAAGACAAAAATATATTATTAAAATAGAACATACTTTTAAGGTATTCAACAAACCATAATCAGGGAATGAATACTTGCATATACATCTACTTTTATGATAATTTTTCTGCATTCTGAGTCAATTATACATTTTTCTCGTAGGTGTAATTGTTATTGGTGAATATTTCGGTTATCTCTAAAAAAACACTATTTATCTATAATATGGATACCTAAGGATAATGGTTAAATGTAAGCACAATGGAACAAACATATATAGAACAGAAAATAGTAGATCATAAAAAATATATATGAAAAAAATTGTAAATTGTTGGAGTTATTTTTACGACTTATATGTCACGAAAAAACACCAGAGTTTAACCTTTCAAAATTGTAATTATAATCATTTCTAATCGATGTTTGAACAGTTTCACAAATGTCTAATAACTTTAAATGATAATAAACACCTTCATCGTCGATAGTTTGAAATTCTGTAAAATCTGCATTTGTAAATAATTTATTAGCCTTTTTACCACTAAATCTGATGCAAGCCAATAATTCTGGTTTATCCGAGCTACCTTGTTTATTTGCCCAAGGGCTTTCTGTTAATTCGCGTTTGAAAAGATCCATTCTCATGGCATCAACTTCCTCAACATCGGAACTGCGTTGGGATGTGAAACGAGAGCTACGCCTTTTTTGCGTTTTCATTAACGGATTGTTAATAATATGTTTAATGCTCCAAAAGCAGAGTTGTTCGGAGCAACTGACGAGCATATCTCCATACGGCGAGAACTTCATATCATAAATACAATTTTTATGCGTTTCAAGTTTAGACAGAAGTTCATATGTTTTGTTATTGGTTACTTTATAAACCTATGAATATATGAAATCCATTTGTTATCCATAAATTATTCGAAATATTTGAAATATTTTAATATTACCTCAATGTCACCAGTGTTAAGACCAAGAGCTATGAAGTTAGTATCTTTTGAAGTAACCAGACAATTTACTTTACCATCAAAACTTGAATCTCTTCTTAGTATCTGATGAAAATTATATTCCAAATTACCATTCATAATGTGAAAACTATAGAGCTGTAAAGATATATTTCATAAAATATTTCAAAAATTTATTAAATTTCTATTCATTTTATTCTTAATCACACAATCAAAATAAGCTAATGTATATTAATATTTGGAAAGTTATTGCTATTATACATATATACTTTTTAATATTTTGTAAAATTAATATCATAATATAGTTTTACTACAATTTTTAAACCTCTATTTGATTCGTACCGAAACATCTTTACCTTTAAAGAACAAGACAGACCTATTAAACAAATCGATGGAGTCTATAGAAACTCACATTATATGCAACAAATGAAGGCATATTGAATATGTACATTCCTCGACATTTTACAGAGGTTTTGTAAAAATTTTAACTTAATGGACTACTATGTAAATTCAAAATGTATCGCTCTATGGACTTACAATATAAGTCCAAAATGTATTGCTACATTTAAGTGATAATGTCAAAATATCTAACATGATGGGCTACTATAGAAATACAAAATGTATTGCTCAAATGGAAGTGATAATGAATAAAAGTCATATATAATTAAGCGACTGTCTGCAATTTAAGGTAATTAGGGAAATATCAAGATTGTAAAAAATTTACTCTAGCATTCCACAACGTAGTGTTTTTGAACTAATTTTTTTTAGATTTTTCTATAGCTGATCTTTTCACCTTCGAGGAAACATCAATTGCAACATTCAATGTTAATATGCTAAACATGTCTAAAGACTTGAGTTCAAGCTACTGAACTGAATGGCTAAATATGTTAAGATCCAAATGCAAATCCATTTCAGTCAACGTAGGTCACATACACTCCTGATAGCTGAGATTAAAAGAAAATAAATAGAAAGCAGAAAGGACGAGTGTAAAGAAATTGGGAATAAGTCAACTATTTGCAATAATCCATTGCAGGAAATATTAACAGTCCTTTTTCTCTACAATTATTACAAATGGTTTTTTGTTTATTTGAGTATCATTTATTTGAGCATCTCTCTTTAAGGAATATTTAGAAGTACATTGTCACAACATTGATAGAATAATACTAAAATTTATTGATTAGAGAGTAATATTAAGTTCTGCTGAATGTTAAAGCAAAGTATATCTGTCCTAAGCTGATTAATCATTAAAGTCCTTAAGACAGTTCTTAAAATGATTCGGATGGGATAGTCGAGTGACTACCAACAGTTTACATTAATATCTATATATTTCTGGTTTTATATTGATAGTCTTTAAACACTGGTGTAGTCTGACGTTCGATACATGGCATGGTGCGTTTGATATTTTATACAGCAATTGGAACCGTTGAAGCATTTTCATACGAAATAACTTTCCAAATTTCACAAAACACGTAATAAAATTATATACAAAAACTAAAGATATATTAAAATAAAATATATTAGATACGGTGAATTACTACTATACAGATATACTAAGATCAAAAATTTATATATTTACGCATGAACAAAATTATCGATGGTCCTCAATTAATACGGAAATTTTTTTTATAGAAAGTGAGATACTGAAAAAGGGATACATATATGATGTGCGAAAAATTCGTTTGATTATCGGCATTTAATAGATATTGAAGATTAGTATTTCTGGACCGATGGAGTAAAGGTAAATTAATTTAATAAGTATTGCAAATGGATACTAAAGTGTATCAACATAGATCATTTTATATCGGCTTTACAAAGATATTCTTTACACACATCTTTGAGAATATAATGGATTGGAAATGCTTTTCTTAACACCTGCTGGGTTCAACTAAATTTTAGTGAAAGTAAAATAGCCACAAGTTAATATTTCTTTGCATTAAATCCATTATTTAATTGAATTTTTTTGCATTATTAATAGTATTTGCTTCTTTAATATTAATTGGTGGCATTGAAATTCCTTAATGTTTCTTTATAAGTTCTTTATAATGGATTTTCGATTGGTAAATCTAGAGTAAATTTTTCAATCGAAATGCTCTTTTAATGCACTTTAAGTGCAATTTCCATTTTCGATTGGTAAAAAGGGCAAAATGTATAGCACTCAAGACTGATTTCTAATACACTAGATATTTTAACAGAGTAGCAAGATTACACTGAAATCTTGTTACAGCTGTTTTAAACAGCTGTTTTATATGATTCAACAGATAAAAGGTGCTTTTCGATTATCCTAAAAATGTTCGATTGGAGAACAGAATTTGACAGATCTAGACTAAATCTGTTTTGAATCCAGATTTACCAATCGAAAACGCCATAAGTATGGGTATTAAGATATATTACAGTTTTTATAAAGCTTTTATCTAGAAAGAGTTTATCTCGTTCTACCCGTCAAGCTGTAGTTCATATGTGTATCTGTTATTTTGTTCATGCCCAGATATAATCGCAGTTCTTATATGAGACACCCTAATTAATAATAAATAAAGAAAACTAATTAAAGTGCGTTAAGTTTAAATAACATTGAATACAGAAAGTTAGATTAAGTACATTTACTATATATTATTGAAATGGGCCAAATTGAAAATCAATTATTTCTAATATATAACATATATAAGCCGTTGTTAATTTTTTTACTAATTACTTCAATGTGAAGTTGTAGTATTGCTGATTTGTTAATATTTTTAGTAAAATTACATAAAATTTGCAATTTTAGAATTTAATTTCGTGCTTCTATATAAAAACATTTAAAAGACAATTTGTGAAGAAGTTCCAGGTGAAACTATTTTTATGGAGTGAGTGTAAGTTGGGATATGTAAAAATTTTGCAATTATTGCAACTGAAGGTAAATGTTACACAATATACATTTAAATGAACACAATGGTTTTGACTTTTTTACCTTGTCAACCTTTATCTAAAATCTGCGCACAATTGTGCTGAATATGATTGCACATGGATCTATATTTGGTTATTAATAAACCTTTAATTGCGGCTAAAAAAGCAAAAATATGAAATATAAATATAAAATAAAATATTTGTATATATTGTTTCTTTATTTCTTATTTAAACTATTTATTTAACCTTTATGTGAACGCGTAAACACTTAGAATATAACGTACACCCAACAGACGACCCCCAGTATGCTCTTATAAGACCCCTAACAACATGAAAGAGTAATAAAAGTTGTTGTATGTTACACACCTTCAGCTGTGTTTGGGTGTTACTGAGAGCAGTAAGTCTAATATATATCCAACTGTAGAGGTGCTGGTCGAAGTGGTAATTTCAACAATTACTTGCGGCTTTGTACCCTTAAACTTTATTTTGACTAGTTTTTGGAATATGATATTAGACCTTTCGAAATGTAATTTAGTTTTTTCTCAACAGACAACTTCACACTTAAGCCCCAAAATTATTTTATAGCCTCAATAGATAGATAGCAAAGCTTTTTTATGAAAAATATCAATTGATTTCACACAGTAGTTGTTAATTGGTGGGCTATGGAAAGTAAGATGGAAAGTAAGAAGCAAGATTTTTGTCAAATTTTTCTTGTGTACTATTGAAAAGTTAATAATGCAGTTGAAAAAACAACAAAATTTTCCTATGGGTATGTAAAAGATGTTTTGATAGAACGCCAAGGCCAAAACTGGTTTGCAAAATTTCAATCTCGCAATTTTGATGTTGAAGATACACCAGGTTTTGAAGGATCACTTGGACCTAACATTAGAAACATTAGATCGTTGAGAGATTAAATTGATTGTATATAACTCCTTATGATAATTTAATATGACTTGGTTTAATCTTAAAATTCAACATAAAGGTTTCACATATTTTTACGGAAATAAATTTGTGTCGTCTCCTTGATATTTGTGATTTGCTTTTAAAATTTCAAAAAAATAACTATCCATTTTTGATCATTTTTAAAATGAGATTATCATCACTAGAAATGAAAAATATTAAGGAAATGATCTATATTTGAAACGCATCTTCACTTTACAGCATAAGGGGTCATAAAGCAATAAAGTTAAACTGGTGCAGTATATTTGAGAAGACTATATTCATTAAAAAAGCTAATGCCAACTGTTTTAAAATTTCATTTCAGTCATTTTTGAGCTTTCGGGTAACATAACGATTAATTCTTATACAGTTATCAGCTGGACAAACTGAATGATTCACATAAATAGAAAAGATCAATATTAAACAATAAAAAAAAAAATGTAGTGTTGTACCAATATAATCTGAGGCGCCATACATCTTTGGTAACTCACCAAAAGCTTGTAAATAGTAGATCAGATATACTGCTACACCCAATATATTTTATTGATCTGGCACGTTCTAATTATAATTTAATTTGATCTCTACAAAATGTGTTAGACGGCAAAACTTTTACTTTAAATTTGTGGGTGTTAAAAATCTGATCAGTTTTTGGCTAAGAAAGAACAAAAATTTTAGAAGAGTGAAATCATGCTACTACCAGAAATATGACAAAAGGCTTTTGTTCAGTATAGACAATATGTATAATTTCATATGTACTACTATACTATAATACACTATAAGAAAATCGTAGAAAACGTATATAAAACCATATTTTAGTAAGCTATTGAATATTTGAAGGTAGTCAAGATATCACCTAAAACTTAAGATAAATTAGGCTCGAATCAGTACATTCTTCTTAAGTATTCTGTGCGCGTGTTGACATAAAGGTTAAAGTCATAGAAAACTATTGTTTATTTCATACTTACATAAATATTATTAGTTATTGCCAAAAACAAAAAATTATTTATGCAATCATAACCATTTAAATATATAGAACCCGATTCGTATGTATATATATCATCTAAATAGCAAATGCCCTGGAATGAAATAGGAATGAAATCATTGGCAGCGTCCAATATCTAATAAATATAAAAAATATTAATTAATTCGAATAAATATTGAACAAATAAAAAACCTACCGTTATAACACCGTTTTTATGTACAAGCAATAAAAATCGTTCTAATATCATAAAACTGATTTTCGTATCACTGTCGAGATACTTTACAATTTCCGAAAGTAAACATTTAACGTAAGTTTTGTCTTCCTTTACTGACGATGCAACGAGTATATTTTCAGTCACTAGTTGTAGATACGATACCGCTTGATTGAAGATAGTTTCATACGTTTCGCTGGATAAATCTTGTATAGCACCATTTTCATGACCAATGAAAATCTTTTGCTTTACAGCTGTTATAGCTGTGATAGAATACGATGATATAGAAGGTAATATAACCGACCAATTTTTTGTGGAACTTGTTGGTATTTGATGTACCTATTAATATTTTTAAATTAATATAAATCGTATTTTTATATATAATATATCTATTATATTTTAAAAAAAAAATTGTCAAAAATTGTCACTTTGACGAAAATTCATGTTATGCAGAGTGTCACAGAAATTGTAATAATTTGCTTCTATAACACACAAATGTTGAGATTTATTACTGATAGATAGCTTTGGCTGTCATGACATATTGTTTTTTCTCTCATTCTCAATTTTATAATTTGCATTGAAAACAATAACAATTTTGCTCATAACGAGCCTATATACTCTACATAATATAACCCTAAGAGAGATTTTTTAAAATAAAATAAAAATGCAGGGCTATACTAGATGTCCCTGTGCACAGGAATCTAACTGAGTTGGACATTAATACGCCTAGCTAGCAATCTAGCGTGATCAAGACCAATTGCCACATTTAATGCTCTCTTAAATTGTATGCTCAAAAAGGGCTCCATAACACTTTACAAGAAAAAACAAAACCATCGCAGATCTTATAAAAAGTAAATAGCAGAAATTTTATTTATTTTATGGTTTATGAGCTTGTATATACATAATGTTATATATATAAATAATATATATATTTATAATATTGTAGCTTAGACAAAGAAAGTTATATTGCACAAAATGTTTAGTTTGTAAGCTTCTGTTAGCTTATAATAAATTTAGTCTACATCTAGATCTATATGTTATTTAACATAAGGTTCTATGCTATGGAGGCTTAACATTACGATGTTCATTACGGTTTGATGCGAGGCCCATTTAAAGCTCTGCTGATCTTTGAGTCACAGCAACTGGTGATGAATACGCACTCCACGCCGAATGAATGATAAACTAATACTTGAATTATTCTACCAGCGTGACTTTGGGTTTTAACAACAATCCTCTCGAGTGCAACCACAAGTGGTCAGCACAGCCGAAGCTGCGGGCCGCTGACCCCAGAGTTACCAGATATATCCATCTCTGGTCAAATGTCGCAAGCGGATCACTTACTACCATGTACACTTCTTATACAAGTGTCGGCGTGGCACCGGGATTTTAGTCGTCTCTTACGACAGGCATGCCTAACGCGAGAATATTCTAACCTCTTCAAATAAATTTAGTCTGTAATACAATCCAAATCCGTATGTTTCATTTTGGTAAACACAGTACACAGTTGCTTCTTTCAACTCCTGAATTGAGATATTAAGATTGCTTATTAGTAAGTTTTTCGTATATATAATACGTTGCAATAATAAAATGACTCTGTGTAACATACTGTTTAATAATGCCTCAGAAAAAATGGAAAACAAAAATAGAATAAGTGGAATTCACAATCTGAAGTAATGAACTCGGTAAATAAATACCATAGTTCCTCTTTGCATTGTTGCTGTGACACTGTTACTGAGCTGGTTGCAATATATATTGAATACCGGTAATCAAATTTTAAAATTAGTTAGTATTAATTCACAAATAAATGAATAAAAAAATTATACCTTAAATCATACATTTAAATAACTTACTCTGTTCTTTGAATCAACAGCCAAAAGAACTGTGCCATCCTCGTTGGTAATATCAAATAATCTGCGGCCTCTTAAATATACATCTGCTTCCAACTGTAGTGTATTATATTGATCGCTATTATCTTGTGTATCTACGTGATCCCATTCAAGTGAACCTTTTAAATTTTGACGTAGGGCGAAAAGATTTAAAGCATTCTTATTTTTTGAGCCACAAATAATGACGTATTTATATATACGATCATTTGACGCGTAGATATCAACACATGAGATAGTTTCGCTAACATTTCTTCGAAACATTTCACATGGAATAATTTCGCTTATATTGCTTTCAAACCTTTCTAATTGGAAAGTTATATTTAAGACAATAAGGCCACGTTTTGTACCCAAAACTAAATATTTATTATCGGGTGAAATTTTGGCACAGGTAATATAGCTGTTGTATTCATTGTACGTATAAATTTCATTAAGCATCGCATTCTTAAGTAAGAAATTGTGTTCATTCTTAAAGCTCAATAATAGAATCTTGTTCTCAAATACAAAAATTATGTTGCTATAACCATCGTCTTGATAAATTTGGTAGCATACAAGTTTCGTGTCTTGTACCGGCCAATAAAATGGTTCATCTTCATTTGAACTATCTTTAAGATTCCAGAAACTAATTTTATTTGAAGCATTAAGCAGCATATAGTATTTTTTTAATATACAAAACGAACGAATATCTCGAATATTGGTTCGCAGTATGGGACGTTTGCCATATTCAAATTCTTTGTCATAAGCATTCCATTTAAAAAAATATATATCACCACTATCACAAGCGACATGCAAATTGATATTATCGGTACTTGCACCAACTTCAACGTCAAATGCAACAATCTTGCCATTTATATAAATTGGTATATCACGTATGTTTTGTTTGCACAAATTCCTTTGCCTAGTGATTTGCTTACATTTTATTGGATTAATCTAAAATATAAGTGGTTATAAAATGATATTCCTATTAGTTTAAATTAATAATATATGTGTTAACAATAAACCTTTTGCTTGGTGCTAGGCCTACGAAAAGCCCGGCGACGGTCGTCTGCAATGGACCACAATAACAATTCACCATTTCTATTGAGTGTAAGCAGAAATTCATCTTTACGAAATAAGCGCGCTTCAATTATTGGCGAATGGTTGTTGTCATCATTAGTCAAAGATATAGGACCAGTTAAACATTCCAGAGAAACATCTAATAGCAGGATATTGTTCTCGCAAACGACAATACATATATCTGGCTCATAATGCTTTAGTATATGCACCATTTTTGCCTCATTTGGCAAATTGACAATCTGTCGTTGTTGATGGAAAAAGCCGCTGAAATAATATTTATTCAAATAAAAGTTTAAGTTCATTTTTATTCTGATTATAAATACATACTTTTCTGTGAACCAAGTACGATTTGGATATAATTCCACTTGCCTCAACGCACTTTCACGTATTGCACCGTTTGCCATTAATGCATATTGAAGAAGGCATGTATAAGCTGAAGCAGTTAATCTCTCTTCAATTTTTGGCAAAAAAGCATATAATTCGTGTAGGAGTTGTTCTTTACGATTATCTAAATCTAAAATTTTGGAATAAAACAATTGTTTCAATAAAAATGGATGTAAGGACATATAACAAATTATTACTTTAAAATTTAACTTTATATAAGTATTTTATAATTATCAGCGTTTTCAATAACTAAATCTATGGTAAAGTTTCACTCGAGATACTTTTTTAGTACAATTTAAGTTCTCGATTATTAAAACTCGTATAGATATAGAGTTTATATAGATATAGTAGATATTTTGTCAGAGTAACAAAATTACACTTAAATGCAGAGTTCATAGTTTACATGATTACCTGCCGTTAAGGCTTAACACAGATTAATACGCCGATAAACATTCCTATTGAAATTCCAAGGTATTTTGCCGGTACGAATTGTAGCTATACGTTTATATATAATTTAGATCTACTGTTTTTTGGGTCAGAGTACCCGGTTGGAAAATGCTACTCCACATTGAATAAAAGTAAATGAATACAGTCATTCTACCCGCGTAAATTTGAGTTTTAACCACAGCCACCAAAATATCGCCGTTGAAGGGGCCAATCTCAATTGGTGAGGGCAGCTGAATCTATACGTACTAACTTCATTGGTAACAGAAAATAAAAAATATATATATTATAATATATAATATATTGAATTCTGTTAACGTCTCGTTGGTAGAAGAAAATAAATGTGGACGTTAATTGAACTGAACTCAAGTACTTAAAAATAATTAAGCTAATCAAGTCTACCATAATGCTATCAAAATAGCAGTAACAGTATTGAGAATTGTAATTTGACTGTCTGCATAACACATTTTTTATATAACTGCCTAGTTTTTTATATTACAAACATGTATATTCTTTTGTATTTAACCCATTAAGTATCAGGTAAGTTCTAACTTCAAATTTTATGGTCTGTAATAATGTCTGTAATAAATAGTAGAATAACACAAGTTTAAGTAAATGAGAATAGTTTGATATTTATTTGAAAAACTACTCTCCTTTTCTCTTCACTATTATTACATTTTTTCATCATTATAGTACTATGGAATCCAAACAAGTGGTTAACCACATGCATTATATCGCCGCCGTCTAGTGGCAAGTAACAGTTACTATGGCGCTGGCAAAAATTACGAAAATTATATTTGGGCTTTTGTGAACACATGTTTTAACAAATACATTAGTTTTTATTTCTATTTATTCTAATTTTTATTTGATTGAAAAAGCCTTTTTTTTTTTAAATTTTTTATATCTGACAAGGTAAACTTATGGACAGAAGAAAACTGCTGGAAATACGTATTTTTTTGTATTAATAAGATATCAAACTTAGTAATAAGTATAAAAAAACATTGAATGAATTAATTTTATATGGATTAAATTACTTTTTTAATTTGAGTAATACTGACTACCCAATGTAGTTGTCAAATAATGATAGTACCCTAAATATGTTACAGAATAGGGTACAAAATTTAAACAAAAAGTGTCTGATTGAGAGTAAATCTAGATTTGGCAATTGAAAACGTAATAACTATCATTAGTGTGAACTTTATAAATACATATTTTGCTAATAAATATTAGATATAAATATTAAAAATTATTACTTATGATTTCATTTTCGTAACATTTCAAAAGTGCAATAGTATATGCTAAGTCAACGGTTCTTATAATTTGTTCCAAAAATTTAAAATCAAAATATATTTGAAATAAATCATGTCGTTTTGCTTCATGTATATGATAACCAATATTCTCGAAAAAATATTTGTCATGTTTTATATCACAGAAGTCGATATCATTGCGATTTAAAATTTTATCAACCCTAAAAAAAAAGAAAGCTATACTAATAATTTAGTAGTGATTTTTTTTTTCAAATAATTACTCATAATAATCGATGATTTTTCTATGTAAGTCCAATTCATTTAAGTCTTTTACATTTTGCTTTAAATATAAATTGTAAATATATGGTATAGTGATTTCTTTTCCTTCCTTATGGACAAGAGAGAACTTATGGAATGTTTGGATTATGTCTTCGGACTCAGTTTCAGTTTTATCCCAAAGAGCGGCTAGTAACTAAAATTGATTATATATAGAATATATAATGTAATTATTTATGTAGAAGAATAAAATAAAATTGGAATACCTTAATTGGAATAGATGTTTTTTGCTGGAAGATTAAAAACGTTTCATATAAATTCAAATTTTGTTCAGACAATACATCGAAAGACCATTTTACTGCGGTAAGTTCAGAAGAAAATCTATAAAGAAAATATAAATAAAATCATTTATAAAATAATTTACTTAATCCAATTCCATACTACTTACCCATTGCATTTTAACTTACGTATCCAGTACGCCCAATCAAAATATTTTTGTCGCATATTTTTTGCAACTATGCTCAGTAAGTACGGATGGCATTTACAGTGTTCATATATATCTGTTGCATTTGATGGAAACTCTCGACGATTGCGATTAAGATATTTCTCAAACAAGCAAAAGAACTCATTTTGTGTTAATCTTCTTTCCATATCAATTATTCTATTCATTTTAGATGAAAGTGAATCACTCACTGCATTATAACGTGTTATTATCAACATTTTACAGCCTAAATTGAATGCTTGATATGATTTAGCGTTTTGCACATTTTCCAGAATGATTAAACAGTTTTTATACTCATTTCTTGTTAATTTTTGTCTAATTCGTTGTTGCAGATCCAATATATGATTAGAGATGCTATCGTAACTTTTTACATAATTGGTATTTTCTAGAACTATATAAAACTCCTGTAAGACTCTTAGATCTTCCTCAGGACTATTGCACTTGCTAACATCAAATCTAAAGATTTTGAAATTCATTGATTGAAGCACGGTATATTCGTAACAAACATCAAGGGCCAGCCACTTTTTACCCAAACCATACTCTCCAACCAATACAACTTTATGGTGTGGTTGCAGTTGTCTTAACGCATTTCGTAATTTTGTATACTAGAAAGTCAATATAAAATTTATTAAAAATTTGTTTAATTAAATATAATATTTGCTGATTAATATACTTACTGGTTCTATGCGAAGTACATTAAACTCAGTGTGATTTTGGTATCTGCTGCGCAGTGATTTGCTAACGTCAATATAATGAGAGGTCTCTTTACTTGGTGTGTTACGTTCATATTTAATCTTGTCAACAAGCCATTTGTATTCGTATTCGATCAAATCCAAAAAATCTGGTATAAGATTTTCATTTGAACATAATATGTGAAAAAGCTGTAGAATTTGTTGTTTGGGTGATTTCTATATAAATGACAGGAAAATTATCAATTAAAACTTAACAAAATATAGTTTTATTATATTTATAGTACCCGTAAGTCTTCAGTTAGTGATATAAAGTCACTTTCTGTAAATAAATTCTTTATCTTAAATTTGTGTTTGACATCCGCAAAATTAAAGTCCATAAAAAAGTCTTTGATGAATACTGGCAGTACATCGCGATATTGAATTACTTCTATTTCGCTTGAACTTCGGCTATGGAAACTCATTTTAAATCTTTAACTAAAAATAAAAAAGAATATTAATATCAATAATAATTTTAAAACAATTTTAATTAAATTGATTGTAACTCTATTTTGAATGTAACAAATAATATAACAAATAATATATAAGATAAGATAAGATAAGATAAGATAAGATAAGATAAGATAAGATAAGATAAGATAAGATAAGATAAGATAAGATAAGATAAGATAAGATAGATAAGATAAGATAAGATAAAGATAAGATAAGATAAGATAAGATAAGATAGGATAAGATAAGATAAGATAAGATAAGATAAGATAAGATAAGATAAGATAAGATAAGATAAGATAAGATAAGATAAGATAAGATTAGATAAGATAAGATAAGATAAGATAAGATAAGATAAGATAAGATAAGATAAGATAAGATAAGATAAGATAAGATAAGATAAGATAAGATAAGATAAGATAGATAAGATAAGATAAGATAAGATAAGATAAGATAAGATAAGATAAGATAAGATAAGATAAGATAAGATAAGATAAGATAAGATAAGACAAGATAAGATAAGATAAGATAAGATAAGATAAGATAAGATAAGATAAGATAAGATAAGATAAGATAAGATAAGATAAGATAAGATAAGATAAGATAAGTAGATAAGTAGTAATAGATAGATTTAGATAATAGATAGATAAGATAGTAGTAAGTAAGATAAGATAAGATAAGATAAGATAAGATAAGATAAGATAAGATAAGATAAGATAAGATAAGATAAGATAAGATAGGATAAGATAAGATAAGATGAGATAATAATCTAATTAATCTATTTTTTTATTGTATGTACTCTTTGTTAGGATCATTGTATTATAAAAGCATATCTGTAATAGCAATAAATTAATAAACTCTTGCTTACTTACTTACTATAAGATAAGATGATAAAATTCTTCAAATGTTAGAAAACTATTGTTCGCACTACTCTACTCTTACTGTTAAACAATTCTCTCCCCTCGCTTCCATATATACGTATTTGTAATTTCTTGTATGTAATTGATAGATCTTTACGAATTTACAACAACAACAGAGACGGTACTATAAGCAATAAATACAGTCTTATTAGTTATAATACAGTCAATGTTGTTGTTGTAAATCCATGAAGATATAACATATTTAGTAGATTACATGAAAGGAATTACAAATACGTGTACGGTTAGGATGAGGCTAGATGATGGTAGCGAGGGGATAGGATTGTTTAATAGTAAGAATGAAGTGAGGATGTAGGTGCGATTTCAATTGAAGTCAACTTTAGTAAAGGTGAAGAAACCCAGCTACTTCAATGGAGCAGGTTCAAAGTTCAAAGATTGGACTCAATTTAGTGTTTGCATTTGAATCTGAAAACAGGTAGGCGTCATCAAAACTATAAAGTTGCAGTTAGGGCACACATTGAGATTTAGTGTATTTATGAGTGGCAAGTAATTGTTAGACACATTGCTATATCCTAATCTCAATTAAGATAGGACAATTTTTGCTGCACATGGAAGGCGTTTTTTTTTCCAGGAGATATTAGGTGTCGATATATTCATAATACGAAGAAAGGGATCGACCAATGTTTTTTAGAGGGACAGCTCTACTGAACATGATCCCATTTGGGTGTGATCGACAAATTTTGCTGCACGTGGAAGGCGTTGTTTTTTTTAGGAGATATTAGGTGTCGATATATACATATTATAAGGAGAGGGATCGATTTTAAAGGAACGTCTCTACTGACTATGATGCCATTGGGATGATGATTTATGTGGCACATAAGAAAGTATTGCTTGAACAGCATTTGGTTATGCTCTTTTATCTTTTATCTCAAACGCTTACATTTGCTCATGTAGAGCACAAGTAAGCGTTTGGAAAGATAATCACATCAGTCAAATATGTATTTTATTTCAAACAAAAACGGTAAGACATTATTTCACGTGTAATATTTCCGTCATATAAATCAATTAACAGCAAATACCATCAAAATTTTAAGCTATAACAAGATTTTACATTCAAATTGATAGTTATTTATTTATTTATTTGGTTGGTAAAGCGAGGGTTAAGTATGCTTAAGAATGTACAGCAAGAACCGTTGGTTTTAACTAGATTTTCACCAAAAATTCATTGAATTCTTACAGCATCGGTTTCTCCAATAAAGATGGTTATTAAATAATAAGTACTATATTTTATTTACTGTACTGTACTGTCTAAACTTAAGTTTCAATAATGTACTAACTTTTAAAATAATAACAAAAGAAAATTTAATTATATACAAAAACTTTGGAGCATACTTCTAGGCTAAATCACAAATTGACAAATCAATTTTGTATAGAGCAGTGGTTCTTAATCTCTAATCGACGAAATGGAAAGTGTTGCACTTTCTTTAGGGTCAGAAGACACAGTTGGATATGAGTCAAAAATACAAATTTTTGTTAATTTAAGGAATAAAATACGACATTAAAATGCAGTATTTCTAACTGCATTTTAGAGACAAGAAAGTGTCATTAGGTTAGAGTGGTAGCTTTGTATATTAAAACTCAAATAATGGTACATTCTAATATTAGATATTAACGTTGTTTATGCGTAGACCAATAGTACACCCAAAAGGACTACAGTGGTCAACATACAAATAACCGTGAAAGGAATGACTTCCCTATTTAGGTAAAAGTGAACCAATCTGATAAGTCTATAAACTAGGTTAAGTCTCTATTTTATAGGATGACAGCTCTGTCAGATCGGTAAGCAAAACTGCCTAAACGATTTTTAATTTTCTATTGGCCCAAGATAGACATTGCAATCAAGATGGGTTGTTATCTTTAAAGTAACAACCACCACAAAAGTCATTATAGGATAGACCAATTCCCATAGCATATCTTCATATTATGCAGTAACCCATTAACAACGATATTATAGTGCTGAGTAAGTTCTGTTCTAATTGAAGCAGTTAATTGGTATGCTTTTTGTTCAGTTTGGATCAAGTAGATTTTGATATCTGATCGGAATATTCATCTGCCCAGATTTAGCTATACTCAAATATTTTTGTTTAATTGCTAGCTTAGCTGCTGCAAGTGGGAACTCAATATCCGAGAAATAGATGTCAGAAAGCAGGGTCCCTGCTTTGGCAAGTTCGTTTACTCTGTAATTACCCAAAATGTTGCTGCACCAATGTAAGCTCGACACGGACATTCCTATCTAGCTAGTAAGGAGATCTAGTAGTAAGGAGTATTCTTAAAGTATTAAGGATGTAGCCGTAGCGCTTATAAAAAATTTGAGAGCAGTTTTGCTATATGAGAAGAATGGGAATTATAAATGTCAATTTTCTTTAGCGTGAAAGCTTGTTTGAAACTATCTGCGTGATACCTACATATCTAACTGGCTATTGAAATATATATAGTGTGAGGTAAATTAAAGTGGTATTATTAGATCACTTAATCAAAATTTTATTTTGATATGTAATGATGACTTTTATATACTTATATATTTAATTTTAAATTAAATTTCAATACTAGTGTATATAATCATTGTATTTATTACTAACTTTATTAATTTTATTATTTCTTCTCTAAACCTTATTTTGAGCATTACTTTATTGTGGTATGAGTCATAGTGTAACTTATTTTATTAATATTGTGTACCTCACTGTGTTGTGTGTAAATATACATATTATGTTTGAATGTATTTACAATTTTCACTTATCTAATCTAATGACTAGATTATCTAATTTTATCTAATGTAATTGCAATTCTAATTTTATTAGCATTATGCATTCAAAAATGCGTGTTTACAAATATAATAGACCTTGACTCCTGTTGATTGATTAACAAACACTAATTAAGGTTGCGCCTTAGTCACAACTTGACTGCATTTCGGCAATTTTATAACATTTAGCTAAGGTGTTCTGATACCCATGATAAGATATTTTGTTTTTCTACTTTGTATTGTATTTTTATAAGGTACTGAGGGTCTTTTTAATTTAAAAATAGTCCTTTTATTAATCACTTAACTTAATTATAGTGTAATCTTTTTCTTATTATCTATTTTTCTTTGTGGAACATAGAACTATAACAATTCGTGTCATTCTTATTTCGTTGGACGCTTCGGAACATATATTGTTCCGTGAGTAATGTGCTTTTGCGAACTCCTGGATATAAGGATATATATGTAATCATTTTTAATGTTTATTTATTTTCTATTTAAACACACACACAACTATATTTTTAAAAATATGTATATATATATATCTTTTTATATATATCTTTTATATATATATGTCTTTTTTAGTTTTTTGTTTGGAATATAGTAATTATAATAATACTAATAATATTAATATTATTTATTTTTATTATTATTTAATAATATTACTTTCTAGAACTCATTATTAATAATATTTCAGCTTCCCTTTTAAATTGTGGGATAAAATTATATTCAAGTTTCGGGTCATAAAGCTATTTCATAATGTTTAAAATATTTTAATAAATATATAAGCTTTTAGTTATTCACCAATTAACCTTCTTATTGTTAATAAATAAAAACAGAACTGAATCATCACAAAGAATATTTGTTAGGTATTAGAACTTTTATCTAATCTATAAAGTTTTACGAAAAATTATAACAGTAGATTAGAATAAATGCAATACTGACTGGCTATCAGCGTTTATTTATTATCAGTATTCCAGCAAACTGACACGAAGATGAAAATTTGGTACATTAGTTATATAGTAGACTTATTGGCTCCGATTGATAAGAGTTATTATGTATAAACTTTATTATAGTTGACTAAGTTATTGTTATCAAAAATGACGTCTCTGGTTTACAGAAATATCAGTAAAACTATTTTATAATAATTTTTCGCAATTTAATGTCAAGATTCCGAAAATTCTATGCGGAGGATTTCAATTGTGAATTCAAATATAATTGCCAGATTTAAAACAATATGTTTTTTATTCAATTTTATTATTGGCAGTAATAAACCTCTATTTTGGCTTCAATTAATAAGAAGAATAAGGGTAAGTTACTTAATTTTAGGTGGAAACTAAATATAATTGATCACTTCATATTATGATAAGATAGATAGAAAAGTAATAGGTTAGATCGACTCATAGAAGATAAAACTATTACGCGTTTTATAAAAAAAACCCTAATTGGGTAGGTCATGAGAAGTAATCAGAATGCATATTGAAAGGAAGCGTCATGAGAAACATGAAGTCACTGGAACTAAATATGGATATCACTAAAAAAATAGATAGATGAAGTTAAGATTGATTTAAGAACATTGCGGGTAAACAAACCTGGAAAACCTGGAACAACTGGATCCATAAAAAGGGATATCATTCAAAAAAAAAATAGATAGATGAAATTAAGATTGATTTGAGAACATTGTGGGTAAACAAATGGAGAACCTGCAACCACGGGAACCATAAAAATGGATGTCACTCATAAATAGATAGATAAAGTTAAAATTGATTTTAGAATATTGCCGGTAAACAAATTGAGAATATAAAGAAACAGAGATATGACAAGGGATCGCAGTTGATGATGAATAAATATTCGAAGCATATGTATGTATATTGAATTTTTTTTTGTATTGTGTCATATTTACATTGTGACCGAAAAGCTTTCGGAAATTCTCATTTAAAATTCGCGCGCTGTATATTTTTCGATATTTTAAGTTTATGTAGTTTGGCAGCATTCCTTAATTACTATGCCAAAAATGAGCGCGATCTGTCAGACAGTTCGTTTACGGCAGCTGTTGAAACCAGTTCACCTCAGTAGTGCGTTGCGAAAAAAACAATGGAAAAAAATATTGAACAAAGAGTTTGCATCAAATTTTGTTTTTCGAACGAAATTTCGTGTGCAGAATCGTTGCGAATGCTACAAAAGGCTTATGGGGAATCAGTTTTATCGAAAACTCAAGTTTATGAGTGGTACAAAGCCTTTCAGGACTGTCGTACGACCGTCGAAGACATGCCGCGTTCTGGACGACCTTCGACCTCTACCACCGACGAAAACATTGAAAAGGCAAAGGAAATCGTGTTCAAAAATCCTCATGTGAGTGTTAGAGAGATAGCACGAGAGCTAGGCATCGGTCGTGAGATGGCTCGTTTGATTTTGGTGGACAATTTGTGTATGCGACGTGTCAACGCCCGGCTTGTTCCGATTCACCTCAATTTGTTCAACATTATCAACGATTTTAAGGCCAAACATTCAATAAATACCATCGAACAGCCACCGTATTCACCTGATCTTGCACCGTGTGACTTTTTCCTGTTTCCCAACCTCAAATTACCACTCAGAGGAACGCGTTTTGAATCCATAGAAGACGTAAAACAGAATTCGCAGAGGGAACTCAAAGCCATACCGGAAAGCGCCTATAATGTTTGATGATTGGAAGAAACGTTGGCATTTGTGTATCGCTTCTAATGGAGCATATTTTGAAGGAGATAAAATAAATATTGATGAAGATTAAGAATTTTGCGTTTTATTTAAAATTTTCCGGAAACTTTTCGGTCACAATGTATATACATATTGTACATCTGCCGTAGGATCTGTTGGTTAAGTTACATATTCTTGTAAATAAAACCACATTATTCGGTAATTTTGTCAAAAGTTGGGTATTCAAAACTATTTTATTAATTAGTTCCAATTAATTAAATCCAAATCAATTATAAATGCTGAGTGCTCTAATATTACTTACTATATATATTTATATATAATACTATTTATATGAGAAGTTTTTGTATTAATCGAGATCCGCTTCAAATTTTATTTTTTATTTTTTATATACTATGACCATTAGAAATAAAATTAATAGGTGTAAAATCGATTAAAGCAGCTAGGTTAGGTTAGGTTATACTGGCGATCTCAAGGGGATTCACTTATGCCTATAGGCCCATTGTGTTAGCGTATTATTGAAAACCTAAGGATTAAAACCATCTAAAACCTTTGAGCAAAGCTTATGGTGCTATTTAATGGGAAGTTCTGAAGTTTGACAAGATCCTCAAAAAAGAAAGCCCTTGAGTGGCTTAAGGTGCCACCGTGCATGTGCCGGACAGAAGCAAATCTATAATTCTAAATTCATGAGATTATTTTTTTTTAACAGAAGAGCAATTTGGTTTTGGGAAAAAAGTAATTTTTGATCAAATTCTTAAATTTATTTGAAAAATATATGAACACTTCAATAGTTTTTATCTGATTGGTAATATTAAATAGCTTCAATATTAAGTCAGATATTTTATTTATTGCAAGAAAAAATAAAATTTTAATTTCACAATAATAATTAAATTCTTCTAAATGATATGTTATGATATGTATAAATTGTTGTATTTGCTTTATCAAAACCAGTTAATAGAGTCAAGTTTTTATTTGGCCAAATTACCAAATAAGCTATCTTCAATGATAGTTCGTGTAATTCGCATACATAATAAAACCAACAAAAAAATCGTTAAATTGTCATGCGAATTAAAAAAAAATTTTTTCTAAAATTCTGTGAAAAGTTTTAAACAATACCAACTCAACACAATAAATTTTTTTATATACATTGTACTCTAGATATTCTGATATGGTACATATATAAATATATTTAAAACAATTTATTTTTAAGATAGTTTTAATTATTTTCATCAAGTTTTTGTAGAAGATCTCCTTGATCTCAAAACGTGACAAAATACTGTCATAACACGAATACAGTAAAAACTCCTTTTAGTGGACAGTTTTCAATACGTCAGAATTAGCCGTCTAAATGGGTTAAATTGTTTAAAATAATATGTTAAAAAAAATTTTAGTAAGAGAAATATCCGTACAGCTGGAATGTCACGTAGATGAATTTTCATTCTACCTTAAAAGATCTTAAAGATTTAAAATTTTTGGAATAAAAGTGTTTGCCGTAATATGATATATATATAAATTGTAACAACAAATACTTTTTCTTTATTAAAGGTATTTTAATATTTTATTAATTAATTGAATGTTTGACTGACCATACAACTATCTCGAGTATTGCCAAATACCCATCATTAGAGGTCTTGGAATTATTTCTTATATTAAATTATTTGTGATAATTTTTCAAAATACCTCTCTATTGAAAACAACAGTTTATATTAAGAATTTAATTTCTTTCATCAAAACAGACGTTAAAATTCAATTTATTAGAGATACGAAAAAAAAGGGAAGTTATTAAGAATATGATTTGTTATGATCTGCCCAATTCTTTGGGACTAAATGTGCCCGCTTTCTATGAGATCACTGTCACTAGCAATTATTTATCTAAGAATATAAATAAATAAATAAATGAATACATAAATAAATAAATACATAAAAATTAATACATATATAAATAAAAAAAAATAAATATATAAAAAAAAAATAAATAAATAAATATATAAATACATAAATAAATAAAAAAATAAATGAATATATAAAAAAATTAAGAACACTTAAAAATTCCGTTAATCATTTAGTTTCATTATTATTTTTTTTATTATTTAGTAATTAAATAATATTTTCCCTAAAAGTCAGATATAGTTTTTAACATACATAGTTTATTTTTTATTATTATCAAAAATTTTGCATTAAAAGTAAAAAACAATTGACAGCTAAAATTACAAACAAAACTCTCGTCTGAATCTAGTAATATTTAAATTATTACAAACATTATTTAAAAAAAAAACTAGCTAAATCAGTTCAGCAATTTCAAGTGACGGGCTTACAGCCAGTTTTTAAACACAATAACTTTAGTGCTAAGTACAGAAAGTTGATCTACAGCCAGATCTCGCGTATAGCAAAGCTGTCAACTCTACTCCCCAGAAGTTGATCAAAGTCAAGCTCTCCGAAGACTGTTCAAAGTACCATGGTACATCCGCACAAATGACATGATAAAAGACCTCAGAATAGACCCGATCAAAAAATACGCGAAAACTGACAGACTGCCCTACATAGCACTATTTAATGTCAGAGCAGTCACTAGGCGTACTGGGCGGTATGCAGATCTGAGACCAGTCATCGAATAATCAGCGAAACTTGTGAGGAGTACATAAATTAGTCAAAGAGAAGGGAGGGACTCTGTAGAAATTCCCCAGCTAAGAAAGAGTAAAAGTGCGCAGTGGCACTAACTCGGAAAAACCTCAACATAAGATGAACAAAAAGCAATTCATTTTTATTATATAGAGTTAGAGATGATTTTCTTATAAAAATTTTATTTTTTAACACATCAAGTATTCTTTGGCATATTGAAAATTTTTCTAATTATTATAAAAAAATTTTTTTTTATTAAAATATTGAACTACAAAAGATGTTACAGTAAACTTACAAAAAAAATATTTGTATATTTTTGTATATTTTTGGCATATTTTTGTAAATTTAACGAGAAGTTCTAATTTAAATACAATATTTGTTATTAATTACAATGGTTTGTTTAAGTTTGCTTATTAATTAAATAATTTAATTTAAATATGCTTTTTAAATTTAGGAACAAACTGTCGAGACAACGAGTAATGTAATTGCCAAGCCTAAAAAACGTACAGACCCAAAAAGAAAAGCTCTTACAAAGAGGCTTGGTTCTTCCATTTCTGTTGAGAAACCTATGGTTGATTTGGCATTGCGTAGTATGACAGAAAGTGGACGTAAAATATCCCTTACTAGTATTCAAAAATTTGTGGAGGAGCATTTTAATACTAAATTGAACTTCAGGGACAAGAGAATGATTAAGTGGTACATTGATGGTTTACGACATAATGGTGAGGTTGTATCTACTTCCAAGTATTTCTTAAAACTGGCTTAAGGAAGAAATTGTCTGGGCATAAAATAGGCACAGGGCAGACAGAAGAGCTTATGATATTACATCGGTTGTATTCAAAATTTTTTGTTTTTAAACTTTGCTATATTAATAAACAATGTTTAACATTTATTAAATTTTTTTGACATTTTTTTTGGGCTTAATGCAAAGCTTATATCAATAAGAAATTTATTATAATTTATTATAATTTTTGTGGTTTATAGATCAATTTTCAAATGTTAATTAGGAAATGATATTAATTATATGCAGTAATAATTAATTATTAATTAGTTACTTGCAATTAAAATGCAGGTAAAATTTACATCTTAAAGTGACTCAATCGCGTTTTCAGTGTATATGTAAATCGAGTTATCATGAAAAACGAATAATCTTAATTTTCAGAAAATCCAAACACTAAAAACTTTAGTTAGTTTTGTTACAATATCTTTCACGCAAATAGTTTCACTTGCAAATTAATTATCTTTTTTAGTCATATTGTAAAATTTTTTTTCTGATGTAAAATTCAATAATTATATCACTCTTCACAATATATATATCACAATATATACACATATTAAACACAATAGCATTTTTTTAGATTCTCATCAGAATTTGTATTTAATTTGGTGTTGGGCAAATCATAATCACAATATAGATATATAGTTACCTATAAAAATCTTTTAAATTTATTAGAAAAATTATGTATCTATTAAGACTACGTCCTTCATGGTGGATTTAATCGATTTTCAAAAACCACTTTTTCTTATATATAATTAAAAATTTTGATTAAATGTTAGTCTTTCTGATGTTCAAAATCCTACTCATTAAAACCGAAAATAGTCTATTTTGACACTGTTGTCAAAAATTTTTACTTAAATCAATTTGAATTTGGACATGAAATATTCTTCATAAATATATATATATTTCAAAGTGTAAAAAATGTATTTGATTAACCAATTATTGTATAAATATTGTATCCAGTTTTATTATTATTATGTTGAGTCAGTGCATTTGATCACTTTTATTATCTATTAACTGCGAGGTTTCTTCATAACCCCTCTCTACGCCTTGACTGGATTATTGTTAATCACTTTATCAGACTAAGCAATAATTGACCTCAGATCCAGTATTACTGGTAAGTTTTATTAGCACAATATATATTTTTTTTATTTGCCTTTTAATTATTTAACAATAAGCAAATTATTGAAAATAAATTAATTCCAGGAATAGTTGAGACCAATAAGACCACATATTATACTAAGAGAACATACTTATACAATTTTTATATTATATTACGTTTAGTTTATGTCATTTATTCCCAAATTCTATTTGGTAGTTTCAGAACTTGGAGCCTCTTCAACCTTTCGGTAGACTGCCCGTTTTTAGCCTTTCTATATATCTCTAACTGAATTTTTCGATTTATTCTCTTATAAGAGGAATTTTCAAGTTCTGATGAATAGAGCATTTTGATACGTACCATGGAGTTTCGACAATATTTATTAAAGTTTCTGATTGGAATCTTTGTAATATTTCTATATTAGGTATTTCTAATGCCCCAAAGTTGTATAGCAAATGTTCATACCAATTGAAGCATGACTTTTTCATACTTAATTGACAACTTGGGTCAAGAAGCCTGTAAATTTTTCACATTTTAAGGTTAAGTTACATTTGCTTGGCTCTTATATGGTGTTTCCAGATAAGTTTGCAGTACGAATATATCCCCAGCTATTATACAGAATTATATTGTCAGATTGTAATAATATGAAGTATATCTTGTGAACAGATTTCTCTTCTTAGTGTGACCGTAACTTAGGCGAATTTTTTAGTAATTTGTTATTTAATCTTAGCTGAGCCTGTAACGGTGTTTGATTCGGTACCCGCAGGTGGAAAACGCGGTAGAGGACGTTCGCATCTTCGGTGAAAGGACCAGGTAACCAACGCTTTGGGGGCGCTCGGTACTACCAACTGGCGATAGCAAGCTACTAATTGGGCTGACTGGCGGAAGCTACTCTACGCGGCCAAGGACAACTCACGTCTTATGTCAGTAAATAAGTAAGAGCCTGTAGATATTGAGATGTTTCAGCTGGGTTTTCACCAGTTGCAACAATTGCTGTATCATTTGATTCCTTTATAATAATGTATTATTGTATAAATCTCATTTATAAATTTTTAGCAACCTCAGTAATTAGGGTATATATGCATAATGTATGCATTCAGATAACAATAACAATGACAAATATAATATACATGCGCCTAATTGGAGAGAAGATACTATTGATTGATTGATATGAATGTCTATAATCTCTTCCACTCTATCTTTCTGTTAGAGTAGAAATTAGGGTAGGACTTAAGAACACTATTCTGTGTATTCTTAAATAACCGTAGAACAAATACGGTCTTTTATGATTTTTCAAATATACATATATAAATTATTACAGCAGATATAATGAATTGACGATGTAGGCAATGGTCTAAAACATATACGTGTGGACAAATGAAACCGTCTTACGTCTAAATGTCTTGTCTGCAGGAAGTTAGATACTTACAAAGACTTGTATCGCTATGAACAATAAAATAACTGAATATACTATAACTTGGTAATTATTAAATAGATTAATTTTGATTTCTCAAATTTTTGAGTATCACTTAACATTTTAAGAATTCACATATTTACATGATTCATCAATGTTGATAAAATTTACAAAATCCCCATATTTTGTGTTGTAATAAAACAAGATTAAAAGCCTTGTTAGTTTACATAAAAATACGTAGTATTTAATATGTATTAAGAATGATTGAATTATTAAAGCAATTACTGGGAAAAAACAAGCTATTAATTGTTATAAAAATAAAAACTATATCTTTTTCTAATTACTTTCATTTAGATAAACATCGTTGATTTTATAGCATAGTTTCACAACATTTTTAAATATATAGATAGCAAGATAATATATTTTTTTTCTTTGAATCAATAAGTTATAAATAAGTATTATTTTAATGAATGATGTTGGAAACAATAATTTACATATAATTTAAAATAATTGCTACATTTAAAAGTAGAAATGTATCTGTTTATGCATTTTAAATACTAACAAATATATCTATTATATATTTAACGTCAACATTTTTAAATAATAAAAACGATTAGATAAGAGAAAAATATTCAATGTAATTTAAAAAAGATATATATTCATTTTATTATATAGTATTGATTTACTATTAAATAATTATTTTACTCCAAATGCAGTGAATTTTCAACTTACACACTTGTGAATATTAATAGGATCAGAGTATTCTAACACGTTGAAAGCTATAGTGAAATATGATGCTTAATCTATCTCCTGATATTAAAAATATAACCAAAAAACATTTGATAGATGTTTATATAAAGCCCGTTTAGAGAAGTAAAAAATTTAAATTAATTTCATTTTTTGAACTACATTTAAAAAAATATTTACCTCAATAAATAACGATTAATACCATATATATAACTAGATAAAGAAAAATTAAGTATCTGAATAGAAATTTAAATTGATCATAATATAACCTTTTGTAAGCATCAGAATTATATATAAAAAAAATATAATATTTAACATATACTGGTAAATATCCACAACTAATTAACAACTACAAACATAAAACTATAATCACAGCATTAAACATTTTCCCTATAAGATTTCAATACCCAATCAGGCAGTTGATTCCAAAATCTTCTTAACACACAACTTTAAATTCATAATCTAGACTTATTTAGAAGCTAACATTGTGATAAAATCATCTTCGTCAATCACTATTTTATATATTTCCCAGATCAAAGCGAACGTTCAAGTTTATGTAATGCAAATTTTTATCATTATAGACCCTCTCCTCCTATCTCTATATAACATTATATCACAAACTCTAAATTTTTGTGATACTTTTTGGATTTCGTAGCATCTCAACTTGGTCTCTTTTTAATTATCGCAATGACACTGTTTTGTTACCCCCACTTGATCATGTAAAAACAAGTTTAAAAACCACATTAAGGGGTTCGCAAAAGAGATAATTATTTAATATATACATCTTAGCATAACGTCTGCCATACTCTTTATTTCGTAAATTTCCATAATGGAATATTTCAATATTGCCAGACCTAAGCATTTGCACAGAAAGTGATCATTTGTTTCTTTTTCCTCTTCCTCTTTGTAGCTCCTGTAGATCTGGTTTAAGGTATACCAATTTTGCCCACTTGCCAGTGGACTGTCAGAATAATTTTAATAAAATCTAATTTTAAATATTGCTTTAAAAAAATATATTGTATATATTGTGATAAATGAAGTTCAAATATTTTATTCTAAAAAGACAGTATAGAGCCTATCTTTCCTAGACTTGGGTCCTTATGATCCATAAAATACCCTTAGCTTGTGCTAGTGTACAGATGATTCTTCCGCTTGTGCATCAGTGCCGGGCACTCCCCAAGCACCATTACTCCTCAAATAATTACGATTAATTACGATTACGGTTAATTTTAAAATAAGTTTGTTTTATTTATAAAAATTCCATCCAATTATGTAGGTACCTCTTTTTGGTTATTCTATTTTTGATTGATGTTAATATATGTATTGAGTTATGCATTTTTAATATTTTTATCTCAGTTCAAATACATGTATATGAGATTACTTTATTTAAATCACGCAAGTTTTCTTTTTATATATACACACATTTTTTCTTACTACGTAGTTTAACATTGGAGCAAGGTTATTTCGAGAAGGTCTCTAATGCAAGAACAGCAACATTTATACTATAATTCTTTCAGATGACTTTAAACTTCGCAATATTTTGCTAAGTACGTTGCACAGAAAAAAGGAATATATGTACTATAAGTGTGTGGGTTTATAAATCCGTAAAAATAAATTTTCTTTTTTTGAAAATACTTTTAATCGATAGTTTTTTTCACATCGCACAGTGGGCCACCAAATTGCCATTTTTTAGAGTTAATTCAAAAAATTATTTAAAATTCAATTAATTAATTTATAAAAAATTTATAAATGTATTTGATATTGTGCATGTCCTAAAACTTTAATAGATTTAATAAAAAAAGTAGTACGAAAGACGTAAAACTTTTATTAAACTTTATGCATCTGTGGTGATGTGTCTATATC